ATACACACACAGACTTCACTTCTAGTAGAGTATTTCTACTAGTAAGTAAACATACACACAGACTTCACTTCTAGTAAAGTATTTCTACTAGTAAGTAAACATACACACAGACTTCACTTCAAGTAAGGTATTTCTACTAGTAAGTAAACATACACACAGACTTCACTTCAAGTAAGGTATTTCTACTAGTAAGTAAGCATACACACACACAGACCTTACTTCAAGTAAGGTATTTCTACAAGTAAGTAAACATATACACACACACAGACTTCATTTCAAGTAGGGTATTCTAGTAGTGAGTACACACACAGACTTCACTTCAAGTAAGGTATTTCTAGTAGTGAGGTAAACACACACACAGACTTCACTTCTAGTAAGGTATTTCTATTGTTGAATTACACACGCAGACTTCACTTCTAGTAAGATATTTCTAGTAGTGAAGTACATGTACACAGAGACTACACTTGTAGTAAGGTATTTCTACTAGTGAAGTAGATGTACACAGAGACTACACTTGTAGTAAGGTATTTTTACTAGTGAAGTACATGTACACAGAGGCATCACTTGTAGTAAGGTATTTCTACTAGTGAAGTACATGTACACACGGACATCACTTGTAGTAAGGTATTTCTACTAGTGAAGTACATGTACACACGGACATCACTTCTAGTAAGGTATTTCTACAAGTGAAGTACATGTACACAGAGACTACACTTGTAGTAAGGTATTTCTACTAGTGAAGTAGATGTACACAGAGACTACACTTGTAGTAAGGTATTTCTACTAGTGAAGTACATGTACACAGAGACATCACTTGTAGTAAGGTATTTCTACTAGTGAAGTACATGTACACAGAGACTACACTTGTAGTAAGATATTTCTATTAGTGAAGTACATGTACACACAGACATCACTTGTAGTAAGGTATTTCTACTAGTGAAGTACATGTACACACAGACTACACTTGTAGTACGGTATTTCTACTAGTGAAGTACATGTACACACGGACATCACTTGTAGTAAGATATTTTTACTAGTGAAGTACATGTACACACTAACTATGTAATCCGCCTCAAGATCGAAGACAGTGTATGGAACTAGTACGAACAGGGACATTACCTTCGTTGTCTGGTGACAAATCATAGAACTAGTACGAACAGGGACATTACCTTCGTTGTCTGGTGACAAATCATAGAACTAGCACGAACAGGGACATTACCTTCGTTGTCTGGTGACAAATCATAGAACTAGCACGAGCGGGGCATTACCTTCGTTGTCGGGTGACAAAATATAGAACTAGCACGAGGAGGGACATTACCTTCGTTGTCGGGTGGACAAATCATAGAACTAGCACGAACAGGGACATTACCTTTGTTGTCGGGTGAGAAATCATAGAACTAGCACGAGCGGGGCATTACCTTCGTTGTCGGGTGACAAAATATAGAACTAGCACGAGGAGGGACATTACCTTCGTTGGCGGGTGACAAATCATAGAACTAGCACGAACAGGGACATTACCTTTGTTGTCGGGTGACAAATCATAGAACTAGCACGAGCGGGACATTACCTTCGTTGTCGGGTGACAAGATATAGAACTAGCACGAACAGGGACATTACCTTCGTTGTTGGGTGACAAAATATAGAACTTGCACGAACAGGGACATTACCTTCGTTGTTGGGTGACAAAGCACGTGACTAGATCAAGCAGGGTCACTACCTTCATTGTCCAACAGTGCGTGAGACTAGAGGCTCAGCCAAGAACAGTAATAGACCATGAAATTCGAAAAGAAAAGGGAACGAGAGTATAAACTTTTGTTTGGAGATTATTTGTAACAAGAGCGTAATGTTCTTTTCGTTGCCCTGGAAACAACGAGGCATTTTTGTATTACGGTGATGAGCTTTCAACGGACGTACTTGTGGTTCAATTATATTAATTTGTCAAGAAATTAATGTCGGTTTTTTAGATGAAAAACCCGTACAACTTATATATAAAAACAAAACATTTATTAAATGAAATAGTCTCCATTCTTATC